ACACTGTTGGGAATCCCAGCAAATGCCACTCAGAAAAGTTATTAAATGACATAATGAAAACATCTAAATGCTTCTCAATCCAATTTTACAAGGCATCCTACCAATGCACCACTAACTAGCTATGTGCAATATAACGTTTCTAAATATATTTCTAAACATATCTTCAGAAATTATAAGAATAACTTGGTTAACACTTCTATTTCAGATATTTAAGTGTGTTTACTCATAAAAATTACTCACAAAGTAAATTCAGAAAGTTTAGAACATTTTCATACATAACGCTGCAAATAAATTTAAATAATTTGAAATAATCTTATGAATAACTTATAGGCTCTACATATTAAGCTGGGACAGTAGAAAGTATTTTCAGAAATTTTGTGTTTAAAAAACACAAAGAGAAATGTACACTAAGCTTCTGTTAACTTATTCCTATTTTACTATAATTAATAATGTAATTTATTCTCATGATGGCAAAGCAGTCCTCGGCATCACACGATCCTTCAGAAATCACTCTAATATGCAGATTTGGTGCGAAAAAAAACCAACAACAGTTCTTATCACTGCTAAAAATAGTTGTGCCGCTTAATATTTCTGCAGAAACTGTGATGCATTTTTATTATGATTCTTTGATGAATTGAAAGTTAAAAGAACATTTATTTGAAATAGGAACATTTTGAAACACTAAAAATCTTTACTGTCACTTTTGATTAAGTTAATGCATCCTTGCTGATTAAAAGTACTAATTTCTTTTAAAAAATGGTTTTGAATGGTAGTGTAGATTTATAGATGGATATACTCAACCAAGCTTGCTCTGTAGAGGAATGTATGTGTAATAGGCTTGATCTGCCAGTTCTAATGAACTACGACTGATTGTTTTGGTGTAGACGAGCCAAAGCCCCCTGGCCCCGCAGAGTTGGATGAGAACGTTCCGGGCACGGTGACAGTTTCCTGGGAACCATCCCCAGACGAGAAACGCGATGATCGCCTGCATTACATGGTGACCAAGAGAGACTCCAGCAAGAGGACCTGGCACACTGTAGCTGACTGTATCTTCAACAACCGTTTCACAGCATGTAACATCATGACAGGGAGAGAATACCAGTTCCGTGTGTTCTCCAAAAATGACATTGGCCTGTCTGCCCCTTCAGAGTCACCAAAATGGCTTATCACATGCAAGAAAGGTTTGTAATACAGGGGGTGTGGTGATTCAAACTTCCAGCATTATTTACATGCGGTCCTTATTTAATAGCAGCAGCTATTTACACTAAGTGTAAGAATGGTGGATACTGTTTGCATTAAGTATAAATAGCGATCCATAGCATCTTGTGACAGATTGTGCAAATTGTGACAGATGTTATTCACACAAAGTCTTAGTAGAATCCTATTTTTACTAAAGGAAAAAAAAATATCTGAGCAGTGATGGGTGGAGTTAGCTATTCAGACTCAATGTAAATAATTAAAACGGTGGTTTTCAACTGGTTTTTGCTTCAACACCCAGATCTGTGCATCAACTGCTGACCCAACACCGAAATTGCAATTATGTATTGTTTATATATAAATGTAACAAAAAAGCCCTGAAAATCAAACATAAAATGTATTAATATTACCATGAACTGCAATGTGCTAAGCCTAAAATACTGTGCCAATTATTATACAACTAATATTTGTAACACTTCACAATTAGGTTCCAATTTTTTGCAAAACTACAAAAAGTTGAAGTTAACTAACAATAAAAAAAAAAAAACAATTTCAACAATTATTAATACATTAATTAAATCAAAAGTATCTGCTAATATTGTTTAATTGATCTAAACTAACACAAACTAACAATGAACAGCTGCATTTTATTATAATTGTATACCAAAAAAAAAATGCATTAACTAACATGTAGTGTTACCATAATATCATGATAATATGTTAGACAAGTATGCCAAGAATACTGAGTTTGATAGAAAGTCCTTCAACAACAAATAATATGGGAAGTGTTTTTTTTTTTTTACCCAAATATACTTGTTTACATTATATGGTTAGTTGCATTCTATTATTTGCATTTAACATTGTTTTTCCCCTACTATCGTAACCAGACCTGTAATCCAATTTTGGATCGCTACCCACTGATTTCAAGAATATGCGTTCTCTGGTCTTATGCACGTCCTGCCACTAGGGGGTGTCTGTTTACTGTGGACACCCTGCTTGCTCATGCACTACACGGTGACCCTTCAGGGACTCACTGACTTGTCAAGTACACAGCCTTAATTAATTGTTTTTTAACCAAGCTCCTTCAATTCTTGCAGAAAAATTCACACTGAACATCCCAGAGTCGAAGACCTGCAACTTGGAGAGTCCTCCTAGGTTTATGGTCCCCCTGAAAATCCACACATCCCCGCAAGGCTACGAGTGCTACATGAGCTGTGCCGTGAGGGGCAACCCCACACCCCACGTCACCTGGTACCGCAACAACGTCAGCCTCAACACTAACACCAACTACTACATCACTAACACCTGTGGAGTGTGCTCCATGCTCATTCTCAGGGTTGGAGCCAAAGACATGGGAGAGTATAAAGTCATAGCTGAGAGTCAGCTGGGAAGAGCAGAGTGCACCACCAATCTGGCAGTGAGAGGTAAGGGTCTACATGAAGAACTCGCCTCACTCGATGAAAGTTAAGCACCTGATAACAGCGGGGTTTCCAAGTTCAATTTTAGAAGTCGTACTTTATCTCTAGGCAAGTTTCCCAAAAGCATCCTCATCTGCTTAAGTACTATATAAAACCATAAATAAATCCTCAGACCTTTTTTAGTATTAAAAACGTATCTTTTATGAAACTCTGCCTTACCAAAGCGCCAGTATTTTTTTACTATATTCAGTAATGTTTAATAACTTCCATGCCTCGACAAGATAACACAACGTATTCAGCAGCATTTTCAAACTATTTTCATGTTGGGGAGACAAAATTGAAAAGATACTGGCAACCAATGGGGTTTTTGGACCTGACAGTAACAATGCATTTACTGTACATTTTACTTAATAACAAGCAATCTGTGTGCTAGTTTTGGAAACAAGCATTGATCTATCCATGTACGGGATGATCTTCCATGATCCGCTACACTGTTGGGAATCCCAGCAAATGCCACTCAGAAAAGTTATTAAATGACATAATGAAAACATCTAAATGCTTCTCAATCCAATTTTACAAGGCATCCTACCAATGCACCACTAACTAGCTATGTGCAATATAACGTTTCTAAATATATTTCTAAACATATCTTCAGAAATTATAAGAATAACTTGGTTAACACTTCTATTTCAGATATTTAAGTGTGTTTACTCATAAAAATTACTCACAAAGTAAATTCAGAAAGTTTAGAACATTTTCATACATAACACTGCAAATAAATTTAATCTAACACCTTAACCATATTTTCTTTTCTTTCTTTGTTTTTCAGAATAAAACCTTGACATGGGGAGGATGTCAAATCACTGTTGTGTTTTTTGGATTTTAGACCCTTTGTAGAGCTACAACATTGGGTATTTTTACAGAAAAATGGCTCATGAAAACGCTACACAGTGTGGCCTTATGAGACAAAAATGGTAGAATCAAATGCATGTGAAAAACTACATATCGTCTTACTTACTGTGTTTAATAGCACAAAAACCTGAAAACATAAAGAAAAAAACTCTGTATTGTGCCACTTGGGTGGCTGATGCTTCATTCGCCATGCTTACCTAATCCTGTTTGGCAATGCTTTTACTTCAGTTTAGTTCAGGTTTGGGGGTTTTTATTGTTCTTGTATGCTATTTAATTAATTCATTTATTTATTCTTGGCTTTTGTGTACGTACGCTGCTATTTCACACTTTCACAAATTCAATTACACTACAGTACGGTAAAAAAAAAGTGTAAAGTGCTGATTTCTTGCATCCATTTTTTTCTTTTTGCTTGTCTGGAAACGCTAAAATGTAAAAGATGCTTTTGCTTCTTCAGATATGCTTTATCAGCCAAAATGGGTTTGGTGTAAATAAATAAAATATTCAGGTTCTTTGAACAGTGCACTTGTGTATCGACCATTATTGTACCTTATCATTACAAATCCATTACTCTGCATATGAATTCACAAAGCACAATGATCCGATTATTAATCCATGATCCTAAGCTCCTAAAATTCTGAAGAGCTATGTTTTTCTGAACACATCCATTCATAAAGAGAAAAAAACGAGAGAAATATTATACAGAAGTACCATATAAATGCATACAGATGACACCATGAAGTCTCACTTATAAGTAAAGCCTGAACATGCTGTCCTTGTTATATTTGGAGTATTTTACTGCCAATACATTTTTGAAATGGCCTGACAGGGTCCAGCACATGTAATATCAGTATGGTGCTCCTGTGGCGTGGTTATGTATGTGCTCATGTGGAGATGTCAGACTTAAGAGTATACATCATGATGATTTATTACCTCTATGTCTCGTCTGATCCATATATGGGCCATAACTCCCTGGCCTGAGCATACCAATGTAACTTCAAACTCGTATCCAACAAGCGCAGGATTTTCAGTCTTGCCCAATTAAAAGTTTATGCATCCCATAAATCATTAAGAATCATTTATCTCCTAAACAATGTCATATATTTACATTAAACATAAACATCACATCTTCTAAAACTTAAAATGATTCTTATATGACCCACACAGAATTTTTAATATGGTACGCACTTATAATGACAAATAAAACATCAATATCAGTATGTTCAAAGCTCCTTCGCATCATTTTGAGAAGCACAAGCTTACCTTTCTCACTTCAGGAGGAAGCTGCTCCCTCCGCTGTCACTGAGCGTTTACTCCTGGAGTTTCTTATTCAGTGGATAGTTCATAAGCTTCATTCTCCAGCCTGGTCCCATATCTAAGGGAGGAGTCACAGTTCCTCATCACACTCATGTCTTTGATCAGAACTCACGGGTAAGCCTATCCCTCGGCCAACACCCCTGAGGAGCAACAGGACACCTTTGAGGACCATCTCAAGTTGGGTCTCAAAGGTGAAGTCGGCACTCAAAGCTGAACAAAGAGCACGGGGCACAAGTCACAAAGTAAGTAGCCAATCTTTAGTATTTACACTATTCTGCTACATTACACCAGGAATATTCATGAGGAGTAATGCACCTGGCCAATCAGAATAGATTGGGGTTGTCTGACGTGACTCCTGAATGGCTCTGAATTATTGCATATCAGTAGACAACAAACTACTTTCAGTGTAACTACGTACTGATTTTGTGCTATTTATGTAGGAATAAGATCATTTGGACAGCATGTTCAATGAATTTACATGCAAAATTAATGGAATGCATGAGCATTTTGCAAGGAAAAAAGAGCAGTACTGTATTGATCGTGCAATGATTGTTATAGCCAACAGTAAAATACGTTTTTATGGCATTTCACTGAGATTGTTGTTTCTAAACACAAATGGAGATGAAAATGTTTGATTCCCATCGGAATAGTTCTCAGAAAGATGAACCGAGACATCTGTTGGGCCAAAAAATTTTTTCATGATGGTCTCTATTCCTTTCAAAGTGGTTTCCTATTATCATGTAATGATGAAAGGATGCTACACCATCTGTTTTCTTAGTTTGGAGCAATGTGTGTGACATGCAGCTTTTACATTGATCTATAAATGTAAACAATGTTTATTTTAGGCCATTATGTTATTTTTATTGGTCCCACATCACTCCTCAGCAAGCAACTCTGGTCAATTATACTGGAGCGCTATTACCTGTAATGGGTTAGGGAAAATGTTATCATGAAAATAGGTCAGAATTTATGGCTTACTGAGAAAAAACAAATAACATATTCCTAATATAGATCATTTTATTTAATAATTCTATACTGTATTTCATAAAATGTATGCATTTATGTCACAGACAATAACAAATGTTCAAGTATAAATACTTGAACATTTATATAAACATATAAACGGATAATGATGGCGAGATCAGTAATTGATAACTTCTCAATATAACGTGCAGGTATATCCTTGTAAAATATCTAAGGCAATCCTAAGAGCAGGGAAAGCAAGGTAAGGGAAAAGATCATTTAATAAGTCATAAAATCTGAAATAAAAATGGTCAAAGCAGTAAGAGAAGCCTTGCTGCCATTAATGGGGGGTTGACATCTTAGGACACAAGACCCTTTCCAGGCCTCCCTTGGGCATATTTATAAATCAATCATATGTCTCAGTTGCTAGGCATGGCTATTTTTCATCTCCTACAAATATGGTTATCCCTGATAAGAAGCTGTCTGCAGATAAACCTATCTTGATGTACTGCTTACACTATAAATCAGCACCTATTTTATAGCTGTATGATTATCACACAGAACACAACCTCTGTGTGTGTGTGTGCGTGTGTGTGTGTGTGTCTATATATATATATATATATATATATGTAATAGTTTCAAACAAACATATGTGTATACAATTTTTTATTATTATTTATTATTTGGATGTACATATATATGCAACATATCACCTAGGCAACTGCTACACATAAATATTAAAAGGAAACCAATGGCATAGTCTATGAAACCTTTCAATCTAGCTGTCATGAAATGCATCTGGGAATAGTATTACTATCATAGGAGATTGTGGAGAAATAGAGCACTTGAAAAATGTTGGCACTCTGCATTTAAGATGAGAGTGTGCGTCAGAGGTGTTTTGATGGATAGTTTTGTGAGGTATGTGACCTATACCAGACAAAAACATGCATGGCTACTTGACTCACACTAGTGGGCACATAGTGTTAATTGAGAAGCAAAGTCTTCAATTTACCGTCGCTTTAAATTACTACTCTACAGAATGTAGAAATTTTGATGCATCTTTATCATGCTCATCTCAATAACACTGTTCTTTGCGAATCAATTCTAAGCTATACTGCATTTGCTGAATTTAATTATACACTTCTGAGATCTGTGAATCTAGATTCAAGCATGTCAATTTAGGTGTTTCATACAATATACATGGCCACAAGTCCTGTAAGGTCGCAACTACTCATCAGTTCACCAGAAACAAAATTAATGAGGCTTTTAGAAGCTTTAGAAACCCTTCCTGCCTTAATAAAAACCCTAGTTGTAATCTAAAGAAAACATAATTGCTGCATATTTCTTGCTAACAATTTACAGCCACCACCTCCAGACATAATTATTGTCTCTATCTTCATTCTAAGAAACCCATCTAATAGAGACTTAAGGAGGTATGAGATTTACTCGAAATGTGTCAGCATTACATTCCTGTAGCAGACATATTGCTTAAATCCCGAGGTTGCGGATCTGTGTAAGTGACACTGTTGCCAGCTTTTTTTCCTTCCTGTGACTTGACCATGAATTACATTCTAGACAGCTGGAGCGTTCATGTTGCTGCAGAGAAAAGCTGACAGAAGCGCTTAGCTTAGCCCTGCTGCTAAGCTGCATGCTCCCTGCCTCAGGGAACAGACATGATCAGAGTCAAAAATTCATTATGCTTCCTCATCAGAACCACGTAGCACTTTTTTCAAATGCAATAAATTCTTGAACTTTGCCTTTCACAAAAATCACAAAACTTAAAAGATTAACTGCAACATCATCATAAAATACACCTAAAGAACAGTAGGTAAGAAGTGAATTCTCTTCAAACTAAAAATCACATTTTAAATTCCAAAAATTAAAATTAAAGTAAACCAATAATACCAAAAAAAACAATAAAATCTGTCATTATTTACATTATATCTTTCAATTTTTTTTCAAAATCTATTTCTTTCACAAAATACATTTTACAAAAGAAATCCATCATAGTAAAGAATCCAAAACTGAATTTATTATTCACTGATAGTCTTGAACTTCAATGAGGTGAACTTTAGCACCATAGATAAAGTGAGGTTCAGTGGTTCCACAATTAGTCCAAGTTTGTGAATGAATCGTTTAGACCGATTTGTGAACCAAATCAATGGTTCAGTGAGAAAAAAAAAAGCCTAGCTCAAAGGAACAATTTGTTCTTTGATCCAATTATTGAGTTCAAATCACTGACTTAATGGTCCGGTTAGCGCAATTCGCAAGTTAACAGAGTATACAATCGAGTAAAAGATTCCTTTTTCAAAAACACTTCAAAATATCTCATCTCATATTTTTCCCATAGAGAAAAGAATGAGAAACAGATTTGGAAGAATATAAGGATGAGTAAATAATGACAGAATATTCATTTTGTAAATGATTTTGGGTGAACTATTCCTGCAAAACAGTTTAAATTTCATAGCTGTAATGATTTTTTGATCCCACAGGAATCCCTGAATCCCACATGCCAAGATGAAATTTACAAAAAGTAAGGAAGAGGAGCCCACTGCTCCTGGGCAAGGTATATATTCACTGAGAACCTATAGAACCTATTGTGATACTATAATCAAGTACCACAGCTTTTAAAATTCTCGTTTCATTCCTCAGTGGCCATTAAGAAGCGATCTAAAGTCCCAGGAGTAATGATCACACAGTTTGTGGAGGAAATCCCAGCAGGAAAAAGTCATCCCGACTTCTCCCGCAAACCCATCGCATTGACTATTCAGGAAGGTACAGTACAGCAGCTCAAAGCATCTGTATTGCTCAAAAAAAGACATAATGGCTGTGTTTCAGAAGGACCCAACTGACTTTGTTAAACCCTCCTCACAGGAAAGCTTGCCATTTTCAAAGCCATCATCACTGGAAGTCCGACACCAACTGTGACATGGGCTCGAAACAATGGAGATGTATCTGATCCTGAAAGATATGCTGTTTCATATGATCCAGTCTTAGGAGAACATCAATTACAGGTGCCATGGTGTCTGCAACTTGTTTAATAGCATTAATTTTTCATTAAAATCTCATTTTATCCATGTATTGTTTCTAATTCTAACATAATTAATGTTGCCCAATAGATGCCCAATGTTGGAGTTGATCAAGCCGACACATATAAATGTTATGCAAATAATGAATATGGACGTGCTATAGTCACAGTCACACTCAACGTGATTGAAGGTCAGTACAAAACCTCCACCAATTGTACCTGAGAAATCTGTGTTAAGCAAAAAGTACAAGTAAAACAAGTGAATCAATTATCTGACTCGGCTGTGCTGAAAAAAAAACTATTCTTTTTTTTTTTCAGTTGGGTTCAAGAAGAGCAAAGCAATGCAGGAAGCACGATTAGGTCTGTCTGCATTCAAGTCCTGAGTGAATCACTAAAGCAATAAGCAACAAAATATTTTCAATGCAGAATAAAGATGAATAGCCCAACTATATTTATTTTCAGAGCAACGAGAGAAAGCAACAGCCGATTTAAAAAAGAACCTGAGGACCCGGTAAGTTCTTGCTGATCGTACCAATGATGGTTCTAGCACAACTTGCATTCTGAATGGCCTGTTTATCTGTTTTTTGAGATGCAAAAGCAGCTGCATGTGTCCAGCCTGACCCTGGACGTCCTGGGAATGGGTGTTCATGGTGTATTGTGCTTTTGCAGAGCTGAACAAAAGGAGAAGAGGAAAGATGGAGAAGTTGATGAGAAATTTTGGGAACTGTTGCTCAGCGCTGATAAGAAAGATTATGAGCGCATCTGCGCTGAATATGGGGTGACTGACTTCCGCTGGATGTTGAAGAAACTGAACGAGAAAAAAAGGGAAATAGAGGAGCAGCAGTCGCAGGTGCATTTCAAATAAACAGTTCAAATAACCAAATCCATCAAACTAAATAATAAATGCCATAGTTTTCAACATATAAATACACCGGCACTGGAAATGAATGTGATGTGTGAAATACCTCACCGGTCACTATTACTATTTTGCTCAAGAAGTGCATGTGCTAAATGCCTCTGAGGTGTCTTTTCAAAGTTTCGGAAGTATATTTTTAACTTGCTTTTCCTCCAACAGTACATTGAACACCTGAGCAACCTGAGACATATTGAAATCAAGATGCCCGGATGTGCCGAATTTGAATTTGAGATGGATCTCAAAGATCCCAATGCCAAAATTTTCCTCCTCAAGGTTAAGCAATAGACACATTATTGATTACTTCATTTTGCAGTTGAAATTAAATTGAAATTCATTTACAAAACATTTCCACATTTTGTTTGTCTCAGGATGGTGTTATGGTTCCATTTACCACTGATTCAGATGAGAAGCATTCTTTGCGTCAAGTCGGCAGGAAATTCATCTTTAGCGTACATGGTCTGAATGCAGAAGATGCTGGATTGTATCAAGTCGATATTGAGGGCGTCAATGTCTTCTCAACTGACTTTAAAAGTGAGCTTTAAGCATATAGAAAGTTATATCTATCCATTAAATGTTATGAAATTAAAAGGATAGAAAAAAATAGGAATTTCTTTCTTCTGTGAAACACATATTGTGTTTGAACTTTCCATACAATTGGATACAAGTGGATAATGATATATGACATATATAAGACATTTAAGAAATATAAGACATATGATTTATTTGTAGAACAACCTGAAACCTAAGTAATTATACACTGATATCAGCACATTTTCATTTCAGAATTAATTATGTCTTTAATTGTAGGAAAACAATTCGGAGCGCTGAATACTATTTGAAAGTTATTTATTTAGTACTATTAAAATATTTCTTTGACTTGAATAAAAACAATTAATTTATATGTTCACATAAAGTACAGTTTTACGTTAAAGCATGCTTTTGTTCTTGTCTCTACCTCTACAGTTCCAGCGGTAGACTTCTTGGTAAAGATTCAGGAAGTGAAGGCTGTGGAAAGAGAGGATGCCGCATTTGAGTGTGTCTTATCTGCTCCGCTCCCTAAGATCTCTTGGCTAGGCAAGAACGTCACCCTGGAACAGGGTGAAAAGTATGACATCTCTGTCTCTGAGGACATGCTAATCCATAGACTGGTGGTGAAGGACTGTATGCAAGTGGACAAAGGCATCTACGCAGCTGTGGCTGGAATGAAATCTTGTAACGCCTGGCTGATAGTGGAGGGTAAGATCAAATTCAGACATCACCCACATTTAGTAGATCAATTGATAAACATGTCAAAGTGTGCTGATCCTCGCATATACAGTAAAAGCCATGTGAGAAACTGATATCATTGCAATTTACACATTTAAATGATCACTTCATTGATTCAGAGCAGATTTGATTCATAACTTCAAAATTAGAATATTTTGTTCACCGCCAAAAGTTGAAATTAACTTTTAGAGTATTTTAGGACAGTTTTCCATCTGCATCAGCAGAACAATGCATATAAAACAACCTTATTTTTTCCCCAACCTTATCTTTGGTAGATCTTACCAATGCATAATTTTTCTGATGATATAAGTTTAAGTTTAATACAACATTTAAACTGTGGTCAATGTACCTGTTGTTCAGATCCAGGAGTTCACTTCACCAGTGGACTGTCAGATGTTCATGCTATCATTGGTCAGTCAGCTGAAATGGTGTGCAAACTCAGCAGTGAAAAGTGTGATGGCATTTGGTATAAAGATGGAAAAGAGGTAAGCACAGGTTTTTGATGCTCAATGTCCAAGTGTAATAATTAACAATACCCAAATAAATAAATATTAATAATTTAGAACAGTGATTTTAGTAAGTAATAATTCTGTTGAAATATCTGCATAGATAACAGCCACAGATGAACTAAAGATCGTCAAAGATGGAGCAGTCCATAAACTAACTGTATCAAACTGCACAGAGGATGACAGTGGAAAGTACCGCTTTGAGGCAGATGGTCGTAAAACTGATGCGATGTTGGTCGTGGAAGGTAATTAACATTATATGTACAAAATATAGAGTTGCATTTTCTGCATTTAAATAAGAAACTTTGGTAACACTTTATGGTAAGGGTACATGAATTACCATGAATTCATGCATAAATTAATGTGTAAATTATGCATTACTTCATGCATTAATATCTCATGAATTATCAGGAACTAACATGAGTTCAAAGTCTTTCATTCATGACTTCATGGATGAACAACACCTTAATTAAGACATTAAGTAAGGTGAGTACATCATCATGATTTATAATTTATTACGCATGATCATGATGTTTTCTTTGTTCACAAAAAACAAGGTCTTTACTATGCATTGTGAATAAAGCTATGCTTATGGCACATGATTAAAAAAATCATTATTTTGTGCATTTAAGACTACTTGAATTATTAAAGGAATATACAAACACCCACATTACCTCATGCATGCATACAGGCTAGAACAGTATATCAATTAATGTGAGAACTAATGTTTTTCATTAAATATGATATGAGTTATCAAGCATGTTCTTATCTTCTTCATATTAGCCTGCAGTAAATGGACAGACCCCAACATTGGCCAATCACAGCACATAGTATGTGAATTCTGTTAACATCCAAATACAGTAGTCATCATTAACTAAGCATTAGCTTCTCATGACTTCATCATGTTTGTGGCCCCTCAACTAAAGTGGTGACCAGACCCCAACATTGGCCAATCACAGCACATATCACGTGAATTCTGTTAACATCCAAATAAAGTAGTCATCATAACTAAGCATTAGCTTCTCATGATTTCATCATGCGTGTGGCCCCTCAACTAAAGTGGTGACCAGACCCCAATATTGGCCAATCACAGCACATCACGTGAATTCTGTTAACATCCAAATACAGTAGTGTAATAATTTTACTTAGTTGTAAGGGAATTAATCGTTATTAATTTATTCAGGTTTATTTCTCTGTGGCCCCTCAACTAAAGTGGTGACCAGATCCCAACATTGGCCAATCACAGCACATATCACGTGAATTCTGTTAACATCCAAATACAGTCATCATTAACTAAGCATAAGCTTCTCATGATTTCATCATGTGTGTGGCCCCTCAACTAAAGTGGTGACTTCATATACCATGAATAAAGCAGAAAGTTTAGATCAAAGTTCCTTTGTGTACACAATACATTGTGTGCAAAAGCTTGAACTTTCATGTTCATATTCTTGTCATTTCACAATTATGCCATCATTAATAACACACTGTTTATCAGTATTCCAAAGGACCAAGTCACCACTTTAGTTGAGGGGCCACAAACATGATGAAATCACGAGAAGCTAATGCTTAGTTAATAATGACTACTGTATTTGGATGTTAACAGAATTCACGTGATATGTGCTGTGATTGGCCAATGTTGGGGTCTGGTCAACACTTTAGTTGAGGGAACCTCAAAAACCCTCCATGGAATGTGCGGGTTTGATGTGTGTGTCTCCATCATATAGGTGGGTCTGTTGTGAGACATAGATCCTACAGTAGTCATCATTAACTAAGCATTAGCTTCTCATGACTTCATCATGTCTGTGGCCCCTCAACTAAAGGGGGGACCCG